CCCTGCGCACCGCCCTGTCGTCGATTTGCAATGTTCAAGTGACCGACAGTGGTTGGTCCCAGGCTCAGCTGCCGGTGCGATTTGGTGGGCTGGGGTTGCTTAGCGTGGTTCAGCTGGCTCCCGTTGTTTATAATTCTTCTGCCGCTGCCACTCTCGACCTACAGTCTTCCCTGCTCCACCGGTTTTTTCGTTGCCGCGATATTCTTCCCCCAGCGTCCGCCCCCGGGGGACCGTACGCACGTCCAAATTTTGAACGAAGAATATAAAAAAATCTTTCAAAATTTGTTGTCTTCATGCGGCGACGACTTTTCCACCGCTCGTTTGTTGGCCATGTCCAGCGTTGCCAGCTGTGGGTGGTTGAGATCGTGGCCTAACACCTCTGTGGGCACCAGGCTTGACGACGAGTCTGTAAGATTTGCCATTGGCTTCAGACTTGGCCTGGTCATTCAGAATAAATACACGTGCCGATGTGGCGCTGAGGCGGACGAGTTTGGGCACCACGGTTTGGTTTGTCGCCTGGGTGGGGGCCGTCAACTACGTCACTTAGCGCTAAACGATTACATTTGTCGGCTCTTCTCCAAGGCTTCAATCCCGGTTCTCAAGGAACCATCCGGCATTTCTGCGCATGATGGTAGGCGACCGGACGGATGCACGCTAATACCTTGGAGAGCCGGCAGATGTTTGGCGTGGGATGTTACGGTCCCTGGCACCCTCGCCGAACGATACGTAAACCTGACAAGTAAAGAATGCGGTTTGGTCGCGGCCAGGGCAGCGGACGAGAAAATGAAAAAATATGGGAATGCCCTCCCCTCGATGGAATTCTTGCCAATATGCATCGAGGTTCTCGGCCCGATGGACCCCAACACACTTAAATTTCTTAAGGAAATAGGCAAAATGATACATACATACATACATACATACATACATACATACATACATACATACATACATACATACATACATACATACATACATACATACATACATACATACATACATACATACATACATACATACATACATACATACATACATACATACATACATACATACATACATACATACATACATACATACATACATACATACATACATACATACATACATACATACATACATACATACATACATACATACATACATACATACATACATACATACATACATACATACATACATACATACATACATACATACATACATACATACATACATACATACATACATACATACATACATACATACATACATACATACATACATACATACATACATACATACATACATACATACATACATACATGTACACGTATTAAGCTAGTGTTACATTTTTTGCGTTCTTTAGGAAAATTACCTCATGCAATAAAATAAGTTTTTTAAGAAAACTTTACCGTAAGTTTTTAAGATTCAAAAATAATAACAATGAAAAATATTTTCATTAATATTATTTGTTATTATTATTATTATTATTATTACACCGTACAAACTGAAACAAAAAATATAAATAATTTTTCCTATATCAGCGAGTCATGATTTTAATGCTGAGGGATCATTACAAACAAGGCTTTCATCTTTTATTATTGTTATTGCTGATGTTGTTATTTATTGTTGTTACTCTTATCTCCATCAATTTAACATCACATGCTATCAATCCATCCATCCAAAATGTAAATATGTGATTAATAATTTTACGATAAATGTAATACAAGTAGTAGTAGTAGTAGTAGTAGTAGTAGTAGTAGTAGTAGTAGTAGTAGTAGCAGCAGCAACAGTAATAGTAGTAGTATAAGTAGTAGTATCAGTCGTAGTAATGGTCGTTAATAGTAGTAATAGTTTTTCTACCAGTAGTTCTAGCAGTAAAAGATGCGTTACAAAGGATCCGCAGTGATTCATTATACATATAAAACATCTAGACACCATACCTTATATGTATGTATACATAGAGACGCAAGTACAAACAAACAAACGCACACTCTTACATATACATACACGCATACATGCACGTACATACACGCACACGGAATTACCTTTAAACATTTTGCTTACCTTTTAGCAATTCATACTTTCATTCTATTTATAAATACATTATACATGTGTATATATATATATATATATCTATATATATCTATATATATATATACACAGGTATATACATACATACATACATAATATGATATATATATATATATATCATATTATGTATGTATGTATGTATGTATGTTCGGTTGAATGTTAGGGAAAGTTGGAGTTTAAAAACGAACGAATTCCATCATTAATAATGTAGCTGCATTCTCTGCGTGGATTTGATAAGTTCAGGCACTTTGTAGGTCATTTTTATATTTTTCATTATATTATTAAATTAAATTTTGAATAGATATGGAATTGAATTAAAACTGAATTTGGTACTAAAATTGTTTTTCAGTAAATTTAAGTTTAATTTTTAACAATTGAAGGTTCGAAATATTCATAATGGCTGGATTGAGGGCTCCTAAGGCTGGCGATGCGTTCAGACTTGAAGTCAAATATGAAGAAGTCGGTTTTGAAAGTTTTTACATTTTTTTAAATTAAAAGTTTTATTAGTAAAAATTTCTTCAAATGTACCAACGCATCATAGCAAATCAGCACTTCCTACATCTTTTGCGCTTAACCTAATAAGCTGGCTTGGATCATTTGACATTCGAGCTCGGTCACTGCAACTCAGAACTTTCATCTCTTCAGTCACCTGATCATTTCAATCCTGTCTTAAAATTTTTTAACTTTTCTGTTAATGAAATTACAGTTTTTAAGTTTAAAAATTCGATAAAACGCTTCAATGTTACTTAAATAAATATTGCATTACTATTTACTTTACATATATTCGATGCTAACACATGGTCATTCATTCGTCCCTCAATATTTCATTTCATAGTTTTAACAAATCTAAAACTTTAAAATCTCAATTTTTAATAAATTAAAAATGTGAAGTACTTATTTGCAGAAATATGACGAACAAGACAAGTTAGGAACTCCAGAAAAATTGATTGAGTGGATACACCAGGTTCTTGGAGCTGATGCACCAGCCGCCGTTAGCCAAACTTCTACTATTTTTATTATTAAAAACATTATTTTATTTAGTGGTTTTACAAAAAAGTTGTAAATAATGAATTTAAATGTGAATTTCATTAAATTTAATTCGATTAAAATGTTACTCTGTTTGCAGCCTGGTCACTCGTGGCAGGACATCAGTAACTATTTGAAGGATGGCGTTATTCTCTGCAAGTTGGTGACGTTTTTTGAAATTAATTTTACAATGGATTAACTCAATTCTTCAAAATTGAACCTACTTTTATTTCAAAAATTAGTAAACCAACCTCATCATATCACCACAAACTTTTAAAACAACTCACCAAAATTCGCAACAAAAATGATTCCCTAGCCCCTCTCTCTCCCCCCCTCTCTCTTTTACACATACACACACACACGTACACACAAACGTAACAAAGTTTATCATCTTTTCCCCGCAGACTTATCAACAAATTATCAGCAGCAGCTGGCAAAGGCAAGGCAGATTTCAACGCGAAAGGTGCTGGAAAGAGTTTTGTGGCCATGAACAACATTGAAAATTTCAACAAAGCCGCAAGGGAGTACGGGGTTCCTGAAAACGCCCTCTTCCAAACACCTGACCTATACGAGGGCAGGAAAGGACCCCTTCTGAATGTTATAAACTGTCTTAATCAGCTTGGATTTGTGGTACGTGTGTATGGATGTCAGTTTTTTCGTAAAATAATTATATTAATTACGTAAATTATTTGATTAATACATTAATTTATTTCTATTTTATTTAAAAATTATATTAATTATTTGATTAAAATCTTAAATTTATTTCAATATATACTCAAATTCAGGCCAACGCAAAAGGTTACTCCGTGAAATACCATGGGCCAGCCCCTCCCAAATTCGATTCATAAAATTTTCATCATACAAACACACTACATATTTTTATATTTTTTAGAGTTTTCATTTATAAATGTATCAATATTTATTCAGAATAACTTAAATTTATTCAAATCTGTATTGATATTCTTATAAAATTTTTCTTTTTGATATTTTTCTTGTGTTTTTAATTTAATTTTGAAATAAATGTGCTTTTTTCAATCATCGTTTAAATTTTTGATGCTTTTTTAAAACCAGAAACTGTTCTTTTAAGGGCTAAATTTCATTTTCAAGTTATATATTTATAAAAAATAAGAATCGAATGGCTTAAATCTGTTACGTCGTTCTAATTTACTGTCAATATATTGTCCAATGATTGTTAGTTAGTTCACCGTCAAATTAACTAAATTCTAAGCAACTTAGGAACATTTTGAAAATTCTTTATAAGGAATGAGATGAATAAAAAAGTAGAACATATTCAGAACTATTCTAACGTATATTAAAAGTATTCTGGTATGGATTTATATCCATGTATTCTGGTGTATTATAATATGTGCAGGGTTAAAACTAAGAATATGTAACTATAATTTGAGTATCAATCAATCAATCAATCAATCGATCGATCGATCGATCCATCAATCAATCAATCAATCAATCAATCAATCAATCAATCAATCAATCAATCAATCAATCAATCAATCAATCAATCAATCAATCAATCAATCAATCAATCAATCAATCAATCAATCAATCAATCAATCATTCATTCATTCATTCATTCATTCATTCAATCAATCAATCAATCAATCAAACAACAGCGCTCCTCAATGAATTTTGAAAATAGATGGGTCTTGAGATCCGCTCTGAACTTCGCAAGTGATGGAGAAGTAGTCAGAGAAGTAGGAAGAGAGTTCCAGAGAAAAGGACCAGAAAAAGCAAAAGCAGATTTGGCAAAAGAGTGTTTAACACGAGTTAAGAAAAAGCGGGAAGAAGAAGACGATCGTAAACCGGGGCATTTAGGTTCAATTAATATATCTGATAAATACTTAGGAAGTAATTTAGATTGAGATTTATACATGAACGTGCAAATATTAAAAATTATTCTATATTTTATAGGTAGCCAGTGCAAGAGAACAAGATATGGAGATATATGAGAAAAGAAAGGGGCACGAGCAACTTGACAAGCAGCAGAGTTAAAAGCTTTACTTAAAGGATAGAGTATAGAGTCAGGAAGACCATAGTAGAGCGAGTTACAATAATCAATCCTAGATAAGACTAACGAAGTAACAAGAAGGAGAAGAATAGGATCATCAAGAAAAGGCAAAAGTTTTTTTTATTCTACGTAGATGAAAGTAAGAGCTTCTAGCAACGCTATTAATCTGAGAAGAGAGAGACATAGTAGAATCAAAGATAAAACCTAGACTACGAAACTTATGAAACATCAAGAGTTTTAGAATCAGGCAAGATAATAGGAGGAATAGTAATAGAATGTTTAGATTTATTAAAACAAATTAATTCAAACTTAGAAGGATTAGGTTTAAGACACATAGAGTCAGACCAAGCGATAATTGAAGAAAGACATAGAGATAAATTAGGAAGAACACTATTGAGATTAGATGAAGGAAAAGAAGTATAAATGTAAGAATCATCAGCATATAGTTGACTAGAGAAAGAAAAGTTATTAATAATACGAGGTAGTTCAGAAGTATAGAGTATAAATAGAAGAGGGCCAAGGATAGAACCCTGAGGTACCCCGAAAGTAAGAGTAGAGGAGTTAGAAGTAGAATTATTGAGAACAACAGAAGAAAAACGATTACAGAGATAAGAAAAAAACCAAGATAGACAAGAATCAGTAATATTAAAAGAAAGATGCAGCAGTCTCAAGAGAATAGTATGGTCAACAGTATCAAAAGCTGAGGAAAAGTCAAGAGCAAGAAGAAGAGTAAGATTACTATTGTCACTAGAGAGAAGGATAGCATTGTGTATTTTAAGTAAAGAAGTTTCAGTACTGTGAGCAGGTCTGAAACTAGATTGAGATACAGATAGCAAGGAGTTAAAGCCTAAATAGTATATGGAGCTGAACATTTAAACTGACTAAACCGGAATATAGCAAGCAAACACTCAAACTGAAGAGAATTACCATCATGTCAATATGATATATCTAGCTAACGTTGTTAATTATTCAGGGTTCCATCATCAAATTTTATAATTTTATCATTATATTATATAATTATATGTTTATAACATATACGTATAATAACCATTCATTCTGCCATCTAGTTTGTCTTTGATAAATTTTACAAATTTAAATTAACTTTTAATACGTTTGTGCTCGTTGCCGATTTGTTTTATTTCACGTGTTTTTTAAGAATTGAATTTTTAAAGAAATAGAAAACTGGTTTAACAATTAAAATGTCGAAAGAGATTGTTGAATTAGTGCCAGGTGATGCAGTGCAATGATTCAATCTGTTTAAATTAATTATTGCCATGGTCGAAGCACTTTTCGACTTTTTCAGATTAACTTTTTTAGTCTTGAAAAGTTGAAACATTAATAATTAATTAAATTTTACATCAATTAAATTTCAATTTCAATTTTTCAAAAATTAAATTAATTATTAATTAATAAATTTTGAAGCCTAAATCTACGCTTGAAAAATGCTTGACGTATTAATTTTTAAATTATAGAGTTAGTGGATGATTCTGGGGGCGATGATGACTACGAAGAAGATGACAACAAGATGGATGAGTGGATTGGTGACGATGATGATGAATTTTGCCAAGTGACGGCCAGCTGTCTATTTTGCGACTTTAGCTGTCAATCATCTTCTGAAATATTTGAACATTGCAATGAGATTCATGATTTTAGCATTATAAATGCCAAAAAAATTCATAACCTAGACTGCTACAGTTACATCAAACTCATCAACTACATCAGATTGAAAGTTTGTCACTTAATTTTTTATTATTTTCAGTAATAAATTAACAATTTCAATTTTTTTAATATTTATCTGTGAATTTATTTATTTATATTAAAAAGTATTTACATTGTTAATATTATATTATATGTATTGCTACAGAAACCAGCCATGGAAGATTTGAAGAAAATATATCCCTACAATACACATCCTTGGTCTGATGATGTCTATTTAAAGTCTACACTAAACGATGATCCTTTGTTATATTTTGGTGGGTAGTTTTTAAATTAAAATTCATTTTTACACACAAGAAACAAAATTTACAGAAATGAGTCATAGCTTTGAAATGATCACATAAATGCTATTGTGTTAGATTCCTTCCACTTTTAATATGAAATTTTAATTAATCCAATGAAATAAAACCACAGATATAGAATCAAGTTTAGAAAAATCTCTTCCTCAATTATCACTCATCTATAATGCCAGTCTCAATAATAACAACAACAATGGTAACAAAGAACTTGTTCACAGCAAAGAATCAGACAACATGGTTACTCTATCAATAGAGGCTTATAATACATTGTTAAATGACCTACATTCGGCCAATGAAAAAGTTGGATTGTATCGGGGTCAACTTGAAGCTGCTATTGGTGACCTAAATTCAGTTAGGTTAGTAGTTAGTTTACTGCTTTTTTTGACAAATAATTCAAAATTTTCTTAGCAAAATCAATTTATGTTATGTTGATAATGAAATTTTTAATATTCACTTTCATCTTCCAATCAAATTAGATCAACTGTTAGAAGTCTTTCCCAATTGGATGTTGCTAAAGGCAGGAAGAAACCTCACAGCCTATCGGAAGCAAGCAAATCAGCAGCCAGCCAATCACGGTCAGTCGGCATCAGTAGTACATACGTTGGTGATAACCCTGGCAAAGATGTTGAGACTGATAAAGATAGCAAAGAAGAAGAAGATGATGGTGGTTATAGTAGAGAAAATAATGATGGGGATGATGATCAATATAGTCATGCTGATGATGATTATTATTTTGAAAGTTACGATCATTACAGCATTCATGAAGAAATGTTGAAGGTACGTTCCACTGAGTTTTCATTTTCAACTGTCCACTCAATTATTTCAACTAACCTAATTGAACAACCACTAACTAAGTTTCTACCAACCAATCAGTTTTCATCTTTATTATATCCCATCCAATCAAATTTCAGGATAAAGTGCGCACCCAATCATACAAAGATGCCATGATCATGAACCCCTCCTCTTTTGCGAAGAAGGTTGTCATTGACCTGGGTTGTGGTACTTCTATTTTAAGCATGTTTGCTGTTCAGGCGGGGGCGGAGCTTGTCTACGCCATTGACCAATCGGAAATCATCTACACTGCTATGGATATTGTTAGGTGGGTGTGTTGCCTAATTTTATTTTTGTTTTGTATCATGAGTTTGTAATTATGGTCATTATCATAATTTTATCATCCATTAATTAATAATTAATAATTACGATTAATAATTATTTCATTGTTATAACATTTTCTGAATAATTTTAATGAAGAGAGAATGGCCTGGAGAAGAAAATAAAATGCATCAAGAGTAAAATTGAAGAGGCAAAACTACCATGTAAAAAGGTCACCAATCATTATACTATCATGCAATTTGCAGACGTAATTAACCAAAATATAAATACATACATCTATTTTTCATAAATTAGCATAAATTATGATAATCACCAAGGTTGACATAATTGTATCTGAATGGATGGGGTACTTCTTATTATTTGAGTCAATGTTAGAATCCGTGATATACTGTCGCGACAATTTTTTGGCACCAGGTGGATTGGTACTGCCCTCTCATTGCAATATCTTTCTTGGGGCCTTTGATTCTTCAAAATATTGGAGGAGCAGAGTTAGTTAGGGAGGGTGATGATAATTAGTGGAATGATGGATGGAATTAGTTTAGTTTCGGCGGATGAGTGAGAAAGAATGTAATGTATTTAATTGTAAACCGTTCACTAGGTAAAATATTGGGATGACGTTTATGGCTTCAAGATGTCTTGCATTAAAACTGCCATCATAACAGAAGTTGATGTTGATGTGTTGGGGGCCGAGTCTGTTTTGACTGACATCTGCTGTATCAAGGTTTTTGTGAAATTATTTTTGTAAATTAGCTGTGTTGTTCGTTTTACGATCAAAAGATTTTTATTTATTATTCTGAGTACTTGTTTGACTCTTCACATTCGTTCACTAATTTGTAAGAAATTTTTTGAATTCTTTCTTAATTTTCTGGTTTGCTCGTTAACTTATTGAAAAATCCCCACCCAGCAATTGGACATAATGACCGTCCAATCAGAGGACTTAGATTTTGACTCCTCCTTCCGGTTGCTTGCACTCAGAGACGGTGTCATCCATGGCTTTTTCGGCTTTTTTGATACTGTCTTTGATCTTAAGAACAGGGTTTGTTCATTATTTTTGCTAATTATTTATTATTAGTATATATCATCAATATTATTGTTGAACAATTCTTTTTATTTTAATTCTAAGGTTGAATTTTCCACCGGTCCGTTTGAGCCTGAGACGCATTGGAAGCAGTCAATTTTTCTCCTGGCTCAGCCCATCCCTGTTTGCAAGGGTCACAACTCATTTGCATAATTTATTCACGAGTGTGATTGACGGATATGTATGTAGATGTATGAATGGGCAGCCGAATAAACGAACGAATTAATGAATTTGCGTGCTGATAAATGACTTAATAATATTTTTGGCCAAAAACTTTTCAGGTCAGCACATAGATGGCAGGATATACGTTAAAAGGAGCAAGAAAGACCACAGATCCTTAGATGTAAATATTATTATAGGCAATAAAAAGCACAAGTACTTCATGAATTAACTGTAATTAATAATAGTGTTCTATCATAATTATCATTGTTCATCTCGTTGTCGTTGTTGTTGTTGTCAATCGACGATAGTTTTATAACTCTTGCCTGCCGATGTTGTCGCTCGTTGCACGTTGTTTCGACTGTGGCAAGCAATAAACGTTTGTGTAGTTGACGCAACATCGCTCCAACGTCGTCGTCGTCCTACCTTCAACTACAATATGATATATGTATGTATATATATACGTATATATAGAATAAATAAATATACTTTGTATCAAAATGCGTCAATATAGAATAAATAAATATACTTTGTATCAAAATGCGTCAATATAGAATAAATAAATATACTTTGTATCAAAATGCGTCAATATAGAATAAATAAATATACTTTGTATCAAAATGCGTCACAAAGTGAACGTCAGTGGCAAACTTTTTTTTCGGTCTGACCCGGCAAGCAACGATTTATGATCTTTAGGGAAGCGGAAGTTGAATGGTGCTGGTTTATTTCCGGTCGGCGCCGATCTGTTTTTACGATTTTTGTTAGTGTCTGCTTTTATTATTATTAATATTGTTTTTTCGTTTTGTCATCTTTCTATTGATTGCATGGTAATATTTCATACAGTTATTGCATTATCTGTATATTTATTAACAGAACTTTGTATATGTGTATGTATATGTGTGTATATGTATGTGTATATTTGTATGCACGTGTGTGTGTATATATGTATTTGTATGCAAGTGCGTACGCATGTATTATTTCGGTCATTATAAAATAATGACAAGGGACATAGAAGTTAATGCTCCACGAAGGAAGCGAGTTTTAACTTTTTGATATCAGTGTTGATGTTGGTGAAGATGATTGTTGTTTTTGATGTTGTTGTTGATGATGGTGAAGATGATTGTTGTTTTTGATGTTGTTGTTGATGATGTTGTTGTAGATGATGATTAATTTGAAACTGTTTTCGTACAGCTGATTTTGATTTGTAACGAGCTGTAAGGATGAAATGGAATGTGGACTTGTTAACTGAGCTGCACACAGTATTGAATCAGCCGCAAAGAACGAACCATTGAAAAATGAGCTTCAAAAATCAAAGTTAAGTCTTGTTGCTTACCTATGAATTATTATTTATTATAATTACAACGCTTATTATTTATTCATCTTATTATTATTTTATTACTTTTGTAAAAAGATTGTCTAATTTAACAAAATGTTCGGACCCGTTCGTCGTACTTCACGTGGTTAAATTATTTTTCAGGTACAACGTTATTAATGCAGACAATGCATGTAAAATTTTGACTCAAAATATAGAAATGTCGATTTTGCCAACATCATCATCATTAATCTAATCATCTTCATCATCATTAATCTCATCATCTTTATCAGCAGCAGCACCACCACAGTCATCGTCATCAAAACTTGCCTCATTGAACAGCTGGCAAATGTCGTCGTGAAGAGCACAAAGGTTTTTTTTATGTCATTACTTTGAAATAATCACAATCATCATCGTCATTGTTATCATCGCCATCGTCATAGTTATCAGCACAGTCGTGGTTATCGTCATCATCAGAGCTCTTAATAGAGGCAGAATGGATTTTTAATTAATAAGTGCCTGACATGAACGCCACTTATATTACTTATATTGTGGCTGCCACTGCTACTACGACGACTACTGCTGCTGGTACTACTACCACTACTACTACTACTACCGTTACCATTAAAAGCAAGAATTAAAAAAATAAGTTTGGTTCTTAAGTTTGGTGGCGGTAAATTTAAATTTATATTAGCTTTTGAAAATGTAAAATTTATAATGTTGCCAACAACATCAACAACAACATCAACAACAACATCAACAACAGCAGCATCAACATCAACAACAGCAGCATCAACATCAACAACAACATCAGCAAAATTGACAACAAATTTGTAATGCATTGCTGAGAAAAAAAACAAAGCGAATAAATTTGTTTAGTTTCTCAAATTAAAGCTTTTTTCTCAGAGCAATCTTTCATTCTACTCTCTCTCTCTCTCTCTCTCTCTCTCTCTCTCTCTCTCTCTTTCTCTCTCTCATCTCTTTATCATTTTTTTTCTTTCTTCCTCCCTCTTTACAACAAGCAATATACAACACACACACACACACACACACACACACACACACACACACACACACACACACACACACACACACACACACACACACACGCACGCACGCACACACACACACACACGCACACACACACACACACATATATATATATATATATACATACATACAAACATACATACGTACGTACAATACATACATACATACGTACAATACATACATACATACGTACAATACATACAGACATGCAAACACGCATAGAGATAAATAGAACAATAAAATGTAATGCAAATAACGGATGTTTGGATTAAAATTAAATGAACTAATATATTGGGGTTGTCTGTGAACGAACGAACGAACGAATGAATGAGGAAACGAATGAATGAATAAATTAATTAATAATTGAATGAATGAATTAATGAATAAAAATTTAATGATCAATTAAATTAATAAACAAATGAAAAATTTATTGTATGAAAAAATGAATGATGATCAGTTGATTGATTGAACGAACGAACGAACGGAGAAGATGAATGAATGATCGATTGAATGAAAGATGGTCAAATTAGTGTAGGAGAAAAATGATTTATATCTGCGGCCGTGTAAGTTTATTGGTCAACATTGCATGCCGTTAGCTAGATTGTTTTGTTGTGGTGGTGGTGGTGGTTGGTGCTGATCATTATAATTTTATTATTATTATTTTATTATTATTATTTATTATCTTAATACCCTTTTTAGCATTGTGGTAATCTTCTGGCAGGCGCTCTCAAGCAATATATAAGGAGAATGTCATATATGCAAGGAAAGGCGTTTAAAGATAACAGCAAATGCCAACAAATTCTAGAGCTGAATCATAAATGCACTTTTAACTGAACATAAATAAATACACAACAAATATACAGTTTTTTTCATTCCCTGAAGCAGACAAACTCGAGCTAGGGAAGCTCCACTTACGTTCAAATCAGAAAGTTTCCTACAAACACAAAGGCAGAATGAAGTTGACGATCGGTCTCCGTCAGGTTTTCCTTTAGATTTCTTTTTACGAAGAAGTCCAACTCGTCATAGCCATACCACAAAAAGCACAAAAGTTGATTTTTCAATAGTTTTTCGGCAATTAGGTATCTCGGTAACAATGTACAATGAGGTTGATGTTGAGGTTGATGTTGATGTTGATGTTGAGGTTGATGTTGAGGTTGATGCTCTATGTTTATCAATTTTTTATTGTGGTTAAATGTTCGGTCGTTGACAAGATTGGAGATTATACAGAAAGAAATTTAGTCTGCTATTTTATTCTCTCTTCCTACCTCCCACTCTCTCTCTTTCTCTCTCACTCTCTCCCTCCTTCATCAGTTATCCATCTTAAAATGTTTAATTTATTTGTACACTCCGTCTTCTTCCTCCGTTTCCGTCTCTATTTTTTCATAATTTTCAATTTTTACTCTATTCAAAAATAATTATTTCAAGTTTTCGTGGTGGTAGTAATAGTCCTACTATTACTACTAGCAGCAGCAGCAGCAGCAGCAGTAGTAGTAGTAGTAGTAGTAGAAAATTGTATTGCCTCGTGTGATGCAAAACGGGCGTACATCTTACATTGCAATATCAAAAGTATAACGTCCTCTCCCTCTCTCTCTCTCTCTCTCCTCTTTTTCTCTCTTTTTATTCCTCTTTCTCCCCTTTTTTCTCCTGTTCTCAATCATTCATTTACCAAGAACTTGTTATTGCATGAAAATGAGGCGTTGTGATTTGTAAATGAGTTTAATTGAAATGAGATGTAATCTAAATTTTGTTTTCCTGTTTATTCCTTCTCTATTATTCGTTCATTCTTTTTTGTTCCCTCTCTCTCTCTCTTTCGTTTGTTCTCTTTTTCTCTCTCTTTTTATTTTTCTTCATACATTTTCTTTACATCATTTTTTTAAATTTTTGTTTCTATATCTTTCAATAATTTATATCTATTGATACCTCTACCAGGTATCTCCCTCCCTCGCTATATTTTGTCCTATCTTTCTCTTTTTTTTTCTTGTAACTACGTCAATGTATCGTTCTCTCTCTCTCTCTCTCTCTCTCTCTCTCTCTTTCTTCCTCTTTTTTTTTCGTCTCTCTCACTCCTCTTTCTTTCTCATTGTCTTATTTCTTCAATATGCGTCTTTTATTTGCTCTTGAAACAAAACCACCTTCCTTTTAAAAACACCATCCTTCGATTGTACGTACATTTAAAAGTAAAAATGTTATTAGATATCTACCACCACCACTACCACCACAACCACCACCACCACCACCACCACCACCACCACTACTACTACTACTACTACTACTTACTACCACTACTGCTGCTGCTACTACGTCTACTACTTTTAGTAAGGTAATAGTAGTAGTGTTAGTGGAATTAGTAGCAGCAGCAGTACTCCTCTTATTGTGTACTTTGCTATTTAACAAATATTGAACAACGTTGCAGACACTTAAATATGAATTTCTTCTTCCAGCCAGCAATCCACTCGATGACGTTGTATTTGTTAGATGGAACTTGCATTGTATTGTGTTGTATTGTAATGTGTTGCATTGTAATGTTTTGCATTGTATTGTGTTGTATTGTAATGTGTTGCATTGTAATGTTTTGCATTGTATTGTGTTGTATTGTAATGTGTTGTGTTGTAGTAATGTGTTGCATTGTATTGAGTTGTATTGTAATGTGTTGTGTTGTATTGTATTTATTTGGTCATCATCATCACCGTAATCGTCGTCATTATCATCATCAACAACAGCATCATCATCATCCTCATTTGAATTCTTGTTTATTTGATAATATTCATTTCTCCCGTGTGTCCAATAATGTCCAATGAATGACCCTGATCATCATCATCATCGTCCTCCTCCTCCTCCTCCTCCTCCTCCTCCTCCTCCTCCTCCTCCTCTTCATCATCGTTAACATTTTTCAATATCGTCTTGACAAACATTTAATGGCAGAAAAATTACATTTTCTGTTCGTCCCTGCATCGCTGAGTTCCTCTTAGAAACAGTGCTACAAAAATTGGAGAAATTTCTGAATGGATAAATAAATGAATGAATGAATGAATGAACGAACGAACGAATGAATGAATTGTAGAGTCAGCAAACGATCATAGAAATAGCCCACAAATAAACTAATGAACGATTGAATGAAAAAGTAAACACACACACACATAAACACACATACAAACGTACATACACACATACAAACATGAACATGGAGATTCATGCATAATGGCTGCCTTCTATATAATGTGTTCCTTGTTGGACGGATAAAAGCTGGAAGTATTTGAAAGTAAAAAAATTTTGAATTGTTAAAGGAATAAATAAATTAATTATTATTTAATCAATTAATTAATCAATTAATTAATTAGCCAGTTAATTAATTTCATATATAACCTTGAATGCAACATTAAATTTAATTAATTTTCATTTATTGATTCTGGATACATTTATATTTTATATGTCAAGGTGGGTTTGGATTTTCACGTGGGCTATATTGTTAATATCATCACCACAACCACCATCATCATCACCACAACCACCATCATCACCACTATCATCATCATCACCACTATCACCATCATCAACAACAATAACAACAATAATCATCATCGTCGTCGTCATCATTATCGTATCGTCGTGATCCTAAAAGTCATAATTATTACAAGCTTGGTCATCATCACCACAATCATCATGATCGTCGTCGTCATCATCATCATCGTCGTCGTCATCATCATCGCAATCATCATCACTATTACTCACTCTAATCCGGCAATTAACGCCTGGAAGATCATATCTATTTAAGAAGCCGTCTGTGTCTTCTTCCTTCTTTTTCTTCTTGTTGTTGTTCTTCTTCTGGTCTTTACTGTTTGTCTTATTATTATTGTTGTTATTATCGTTGTTATTATCATTATTATTGTTGTTGTTGTTATTGTTGTTTTTTTTATTCACTAAGTAAGATTGATTAACTTTAAGAGCGCAAAACCAGAGATAAGCTGACGGGTCAACAGAAGAAACATCATCATCATCAACTCCTCTTACTCATCATCAACAACATCATCATCATCATCATCAACAACAGCAACAAAAACATCAACAACAACAACAACATCCCATACAAATTTTTTTAATTAAAAGTTTCGCAAGCACGAGCGTATAAAACCAGACGTAGTGCCCCGTTTAAAGAAACCACTTAGACAACAACAACAACAACAACAACAACAATGGATGACGTCACATCGTCATCATCATCAGTAGCAGCAGCCTCATCGTCGTCGTCGTCATCATCAACGCCAATGACAAATTACACAATTGAGGAAATATTAGAGTCAATACTCGGCCCAAAGACGCAACCTTATTGGTTGACAGTGACCTTGACATCGATTTATATCCTCATATTCGTCAGCGGATTGGTCGGCAACCTGGTGACCTGTTACGTCATCATTAGGAATCGACGAATGAGAACTGTCACAAATTGTTACCTCTTCTCATTGGCTGTCGCCGATATATTGACGCTTCTGATTGGTTAATATTATTATTTAGATAATATTTTTGGATAATTACGACAATTAATAATTATTATTGTTATAAAATGAGGTGCTTCGATAAAACATTTCTCTCATAATGGTAAGAACGAGAGTCTTACGAGCGTTAAGGGGAACTACTGCCTCTGCTGATTTCTATCTGATGTTCACCCTCCATAAGGAGTGACAATCGAGGAAATGCATTATTAATTATTATGAAACATTTTCATCTGGCATTGAATCTTATTTTTTTATTCTGTGGATCGTCGTTTGCCAATACAAGCAGCTCTTTCTCTCTCTCCTTTCTTTCTCTCTCTCATTCTCTCTCTCTCGTAATTATCATCACGCAACGCTCATTAACGGAATAATACACTCACGGCGGTTCGTCCAAGTTTTTGCTTTAAATGTCATCATCATCATCATCATCATCACTACCATCGTCATCATCATCATCGTCGTTTGCATCGTCATCATCGTCTTTTTGGATTATGTAACAGTTGATGGCGATATTTGTTTTCGCATCAGCACCAACAATAAAAACAGCAACAACAACATCTTCACATCATCACCATCATCACTAATTCTCCTCCCCACCATCACCAACCCCAAAGGCCTGCCCCCAGAGGTGTACAGCATATTCGAGGCCTACCCGTGGAGGTTAGGTAGGACGTATTGCTTACTGAAAACCTATTTCACCGAAACTACGTCATCGGCGTCTGTGCTCACCATCACCTGCTTCACGGTCGAAAGGTACATGGCCGTCTGCCATTCTTTCAAGTTAGTGAGAGAGTGAGTGAGGGAGTGAGTGAGGCAACAAAGCATTTGAGATATCTTAATATTTAGTAGAAGTGTACGGTCACTAATTATTTGTAAATTTTTAAAATGCGAATCGGCATTTTTTAAAAATTTGCGACCAATTTTTTCAAAAGTTTCCTCTTATTTTGAAAAGTTTCTTAATTGAAACCTGTGTTTTTCACAAGCTTTTAACGGAAAAATAAGTTGCTGCGTTTATTGTCGGAGGCCCCATTTTGTGGAGCCCTAGAGTAGAAACCCCGCCTATTTTGTACTAAATCTAGCCCGGAGTGAGAGAACAAAAAGAGAGAGAGAGAGAGAAAGGGGGAGAGAAATAACGATGATGATGATGAGAAGGTGGATGGTGGCGCTGATAGTGATAAACTGCATTGATGTTCTGGAATACATGGAACCATAAATTTTCATCTTGGCGGAGAACAAAATGAAGTAATTAAAATAAGGCCAATAATAATAATAATAACAATAATATCGTTATTATTATTACTATAATTAACGAGAATAATAATAAAAATATGAATGACTGATGAGGCACGTGTGTATAATATATAGTGGATGAATGAAATGATGGATGGATGGATGGACACATGTACGTGCCGTATCTCTCCATCATTTTATTCTTTCTTTTATTTGATTATTTACTCTTTCATTCATTCTGTAGTTTTTGCAGTTTTTATTATTTAGTTTTTTCTATCATTGCTTCATTTGTTCTTCTTTATAGATGCACTTTCATTTATTCGCTGATTTGTTTATTCTATTTTTCGTTTGTTCAAGTATTCACTCACTCACTCACTCACTCACTCACTCACTCACTCACTCACTCACTCACTCACTCACTCATTCACTCATTCATTTATTCACTCACCTTAGAGAACATTCATTCGACTTCCGGTTTCTGAGAAAACAGCGATATAAAAACGCGCCAAATGGTCAACTGACTGAGGACGACGACATCAGCATCATTATCATCATCATCGTTATCATCATCATCATCATCGTTATCATTATTGCCACGTACAAAATTACCATCATTAAATCAGCGGGGAAAAATGAAATAGAATGACGAGAAAGACGAATAATACTATAACTAGGAATGTTATTATTATTATTATTGTTTTTATCATTATTATTGTTGTTATTATTGTTGTTGTTATGACTTGCATGAGATGAGTTTTCTCTTTAAAATGAAATCCGGAAAAAACATATTACTTTGAATAATTGTCCCTCGTTAATACTGCTACTACTACCAATACTGCTACTACTACTACCATTACTGCTACTGTTACTACCATTACTGCTACTACTACTACTGCTGCTACTACTACTATTGCTACAACTGCTCTATTGCCAAATCATTAATATTTGAGTCAGTTGTAGTAGTAATAGATGTACTAGTATAATCATGTATAATATTCAAAATTAAAATTACACCTATTTGCGTGTATGTGTGTGTTCTCGTGTGTGCATGTGTTTGCTTGCGTGTGTTTGTGTATGCAGATTTTGGTATGCATGAATGCTTGCACGGCAGTGACATGTATTTATTTTTTGTTAACGCATCTCTCAACTGGGGAATTTTTTCGCTTCCTTTCATTTTTTTTTTCTTTCAAAGATAGACAGAACGATCCGATGATGACGACAACGACGACGACGAAGAAAATACACATACTGTACACACGCACACACACAAACACACACAAACACACACAGACATGCATGCATACATTCAGACTCCAGGCAATGTCCGGATTGAAACGCGCCATCAGAAACGTAGCAGCAATCTGGGTGATCTCCATGATCAGTGCCCTGCCCTATCCTGCCCACACTCGGGTTTTTCCCTATTACGTCACAGACGGCAAAGAACCTATATATTTATGTAACATCCCTGAAAAATGGCGGACTGTCATGGCGGTCGTGATGCAAGCAACAACATTTCTT